CCACCCAGACCGTGGTGAGGGCTCCAGCACTGGGTGAACGGTGTGGGGCACCCCAAAATGCGGATGGGGGGCTGTGGCACCCACCTGTGCCCACCCTGTGGGCTGTGACACCCCTCTGGGAAATGGGGGTGACTGGCACGCAGTGCCTTGTCATGCTGGGGACTCATATGTGATGTGGTAACTCCGAGAAGTATTGGGGCTGCTCTACTCCATCCTTCTGTTCGATTCACAGTGGGGATGAATGTTTGATCATTTGATACCTTCCCATTTTCTCAGGCTCTCTGTTCCCCATCCTCCCTGTGTGGGCAGCGGGGGCACAGGGTGGGCACAGAGCACCCACTGCAGGACCAACCTCGGGGGAGCAGAAGGGGCCTGGCAGCCATCCCACCCCTGCTCCTGGGGCAGGGCTGAGAGGGGAGCAGCACAGGCAGGGCTGGGGGCACAGAGAGGGCAGGGCAGGCCTGTGGGCATGGGCCTCTGCCCCCACCGCAGGCAGCACCACTGCAAGCTGCTGCGAAATCCTCTGTTTCCAAGGTAACCTGGGGATCCCACAGCTGGGAGAGGCAGAGCTGCAATGGGATGAGGTGCTGCTGGCACCCTGCAGCTCCTGCCTGTGGGTGATGCTCTGCTTTTCCCAAGCTGGCTGGCATCAGTGTGATGCTTGGCTGGGGGCAGGACGGTCTCTTCAGCTTCTCTCCTCTCTCCCTCTCATCCCCTCCCTGCCTCCAGCTGTGAACCAAGGGAGAAATCGGGCCCTGCTGCCCTCCTGGGGGCTGGGGAGGGAGCTGGACCCTGCCCTGCAGGCCCCTGGGCTTTGGTGGCACTCAAGGGCGCCTTTTGAGCAGCTACTGAGAAGTCCCTGCCTGCACAGAGAGCTGTAACCCCACATTCCTGTTGGGGTTCATTGGGAAGGACTAGTTAGTCCCCAAAGTCTCACAGGAAAGCAGGCTCAGGGCATCCATCTGCTGACCCACAGCAGGGCCACAGGCATACCCTGTTTCAGATCCCCTTGTGCCCCACATGGCTGTGAGGAGGGATCTCGGTGTGCCCTGACACCAGTGCCCTGGGCTGGGCGCTGAGTCTGCCTCCAGCTCCCCTCAGCGCATGCCACAGAGCAGCCTGGTCACTCCCACAGCTGNGGGCAGGCGCGCTCCATGGCCGAGGGGGTGCCCAGCTCTTCCAGCGACTCGATGAAGTCGAAACTCCTACAATGGCGCTTGTTGAAGGGCTGCGGCTCGCGGGACAGGGAGGAGGACATGGAGGCATCACATTGTGCTAGGGGCTGACAGACAACGGAATCCCCAGGGGCTGCTGTCGCCACCTTGATGTCTTGGTACACCGTGGACACCAGAATGTCAGGTGGGTCTGTTCGTGTCATCTTAAAAGCGACTCTTCTGCTAGTTCCCTGTCACACGGCCTCAGAGGACGGTAGCCCACCCTGCAAGAGAACACATGAGGTGCCTCAATCCTGGAGTGACCTCATATCAATCCCCACTGCTCCTAGCTCAGAGCTGGGGGTTGACCATCTCTTCAGAAAGGAAGGTTTGAGGGCATCCCAGCCTCCACTGCTGCTGTCAATAGTCAATCAACTGGAGGAAGAAACTGGAAAAAGTTTCCAGATCCAGGGTGCAAATCATGGAGCAGCTGGCAGGACACTGATGGGGGCAGCCAGGGAACTGCATACCAGATCAGCATAGCAAGAGGAGAACACAGAGTACTGTGCCCTCTTCCTGGCCCACAGGGCACAGGGACTGTCTTGCAGAATCACATGAATTGGCAGCTCTAGGCAGGGCTGTGAAGGTTCAACACCTGGATTTTCCATGGGGAGCATGTGCTCAGTCCTGGTGAGAGCACCGGAGTGTTGAGGGATCTCCTGGGACTGTGCGTACCCACGTCCCTGCACCAGCACTGCAGGGGGAACCAGGGCCCAGGGACAGGCCCCATGAGCACCCACCATGGTGACTGGGCAGCCCCCATGGTCTGGGGCTCTGTAGGAGGCAGGAGCTACAACCCCTCCCTGTGGTGGCTGCACCCACTGTGGCCCACAAACTCCCGTGTGGGGTTGTCACAGTGCTGGCTACACAGAGTTGCACTCTCTGGGTCTTTCAGATCAGGGGTGGCCCCAAGGGGTGGCAGAAGGGTGTTGTGGTGGGTGCCCCAACCCACATGTATGCAGTGATACCTGCATCACCTCCCTATGCCAGACGAGCTGTGCTGGCTCAGTACCCTCTGGCTTTGTTGTCTTCTGTGACCCATGGCTGTGACATGTCCCCTGGGCTGGAAAGCAAGGCTGATGGTGGCTTTAGCTGCTGTGGGACATGGGGTCTGATGCCCACTGTGTGCCAGCACCAAGCACCCCAGTGCTCTGGGACAATGCTGTTGGGTGGCCAGGGTGGGCACAGTCCCCAGCCACAGTGTGGCACAGCTGTGTGACAATGAGAACATCAGCACAAGTTTGCCTCAGTGCATGGTGGGGACAGAGGAAGGACTAAGTGGGTTGTAGCACTGACCTTCCCTACCAGCCCTTCAAGAGCTGCCATGGGTTGTCACCAGCACTGGGAGATGTGCACCTTCTCTGCTCACAACAGGGACCCCCCCAGCTGTCAGTCACCTCACCATGTCCTCTGAGCATTGGGTGTTGTGGCCACCAAGGGCCTGGGTGCACGGGTTGACGCTGGCTGCTCTGTGTTGCACTAAAGATGGGTGGACACTTGGCTTTAAAGAGCAGCAGAGGACAACAGGGAGGATGTTTCTTGGAGAAAAAGAATTTCCTTTATTTAGCAATAAGCACTGACTATGCAGAGATGGGGAGGGGACTTGGGTTCCTCCTCATTACCTGCTCCAAAGCTGGGGGGGTGCAGATGCCAGAGCTGAGGTGACTCCAGTGGCCTTGGGGTGTCTGTCCATGTGATGGGCTGGGAAGAGCAAGATGCCATGAGAAAGGAAATGGGGGTCCCAGTGCCTCCCTGCAGAGCTGGGAGGGCAGGTTTGCCCCCCAAAAACTGGCCCAGTATTGGCTCTGCTGTGTTACAGTGTGTGGGAACTGGGCTGGGTCCGGCAAGGCAGCATCCCGTGCCACAGCGACGGGGACAGTGGCATTGGGAAGCCCATTCCTGTGGTGTTGGGGTGGCTGGTAGGCAAGGAACTGTAGCCCAGGATCCTACCTGGTCCAGCAGCAGCAGCAGTGAGGGGCTGGGTGGGCTGAGGTGGCCGAGGGGCCTGTGGTGACTCCATCCCAGCACTGTAAAACAAACAAGGCACATGAGGCTCCTTGGGCACTGCCAGTGTGGTGGAAGTGTGGCTGCTGGGGCCATGGACGCCTTGTGAGTGCATGGAGCACCCTCAAGAGACCTCTGCAGCCACAGCCCTGCTGGACCAAAAGGAACTGCCACCCAAAGAACTGTCCCCCAGCGTGTGTGCATCCCTGTGCGCTGGGGATGTGGGCGCTGCATCCCACAGGCTCCGGTGTCTTCCACCCACCAGCGGCACCCACTGCCGGTGGAGCTGTGGGGTTGCCATGGTTTCTCCAAATTATTCCTCCTCTGCGAGGACAGCGTGGGTGCAGGGGGAGGCTTGCACGGGGAGCTGGGGCTCTGTGGCACTGCAGGGAGAGCAGAGCCCTCCTGCAGCGGCTGGAACCCTCTGCCTATTGAGGGGGGCAGAGCTGGGATGGCCCCACGGTGCTGCTAGTGCCACCATGCTCACATGCCCACCAGCCTCTGACACCAGCTCTGCAGGGAGAGGGTTTTGCATTCCCTCTGCTCTCCACCCCCCGGCTAGTGGGCATCCGGTTGGTTGGATGCCCCCTTCTGCCCCAGCACTGCCCAGTTTCGGCAGGCACCAGCCTCCCTACCCGGGATGCCCACACGGTGTCTCCCCGTGGATGTGACACCTGCCGACAGCCCTGGCAGAGNATCCGGGACTGACACCCGCGGGTGTCCCCTGCCACCAGGAGCACAGCACCCCATCTCCCCTCTGTGCCACGGAGAGCGGCACCACCGCCTCCCCTCCTGCTCCTGCCCTAAGGCAGAGCCTGCCAAACCCCGGGGTACCCAGGGGTTCAAGGGCTTCCCAGACCGGCTGCCCCATGGCAGTATCCCCATGCAGCTCCAAGCAGAAGCACACGTGCAGGTGTCAGCCCTGCTTTAACCTGGAATGGAGCCATTTCCCACAGGCTGCCCCAGTCCCCAGTTTAGCTGACCTCACCCCACCTCCCCTCACCGTGTCTGCCCGAGCCCCCAGAGGGCCCAGGATTGCTCACTGAAGGTGCCAGAGGACAATTCCCTGTGCTCAGCAACCACCCTGCCACGGGCTGGGAGGGGAAGCCTGGATACTCACCGTGGAGCACCTTTGGGCCAGGAACACTTCACACATGCCACAGATGCTGCAGGTTCCTTTGGAAGCAAACCTACCAGTTAAAAAGGCTCAGCTACTTGCCCTGGTATCTTTATGCAGCAGACTGAGCCAGCGCTAGATTAATTTTATTATGCCATGATTGAGGCTGTTGCTAGGCTACAGCCCCGCTCCCCAAACCCGTCCTATTGCAGGATTTCCCCACCACCACTCATCTGGCTGCTCGGGGGCATCCCAAAGGACAGGGAAGCACCACGGGCTCCCCAGGCACCTGGAGCCTTGGATGCAGGGACATTGCAGGCAGAAAAAAACCCCACTGTGCCCCCAACCCAGCCCCCACCCAGGCCCATCCTAGCCCAGGGCTGGGGGTCCTGGTTGCCCCACAGCCCCCCCAAAGTCTCCAAGAGCACTCACAGCTTTACACATTCATTTTGAGGCCTGCTAAAATCCAAGTTCCAATGACTTTTTCATGTTCACTGCTAGGAGGAAGGAAGCAAATTCCCATCCCGGGCCTTGGCAAGCTAGGGAGACTTGTTGTGACTCTATGGGAGCAACAGAAACAGGGCAAAGCTGCATCCCTCAAAGGGCACCATCAGGGCACTCCTTGCATGTGGCCCTTGGCATTGACCATGGGGGATGAGGAAGGCTGGGTGCCCTGGTGACACAGGCTACAGCTGTGGAAAAGGCCAGCCCGTCCCAGGGGCGGCAGGAGAGGGATTATATGGCAATCATTAAAACCAGCCCTGGCCAGCAGGACAATGGTGGAGCAGGGACAGAGCCCCATTGGCAAAGGGCCATGGAGAGGGAGCAGCACTTAAACAAGAGCCCTGGCAAAGTAATAAATCAGCAGAAATTGTCCAGGAATAAATCTGGATGGCAGTGATCAGACAGCTCCTGAGCGCCAAGCAGAAGGTGATGGAGACTTTCCACAGGGATCATAAAATCATGGACTTCTGTGGGTTGGAAGGGTCCTTAAATATCAGCTAGTTTCAACCCCTTGCTATGGGCAGGGAAACAACTGGAGTGGTGGTGGCACAACCTGCAGGGACCTGTCTGCCTGTCCTGGGCTGGTTTGACAGTGACAGGCCAGGTATCAGCCATGGGCCCTTTGGGGCCCTGCAGGGCTGGGCATGGGCTCAGCAGCTTGGGTCCCTGCAGGGAGGAGTTTGGACAGACTAATGTAAGGAAGAACCTTTCCAGCAGACTGAGCCAGTCACCTGTACCAAGGAGACCTGGGCATCAGGAGGGGAATGCTGTGCACACAGGAGGAATCCTGGGGACAGCAGGCACAGAACAGAGATGGGCAGCTTCAGGCCGCTGGTGCAGGGCAGCTGGAAGGTCTCCCCAAAACTGGCTCCCACCTGAGGAGCCACGAGGCTGTCAGGCATGGTGGAACCTGCTGGGCTCAGGTCAGTGTCTGCTCCAGAGTCTGACTGCACCCATGGCCCCTCTCTGCACCCACTGTCCCTCTCAGCACCCACTGTCCCTCTCTGCACCCACTGTCCCTCTCTGCACCCACTGTCCCTCTCTGCACCCACAGCCCCTCTCTGCACCCACAGCCCCTCTCAGCACCCACCGTCCCTTTTCGGCCCCCCTGTCCCCTCTCAGCAGCTGCACTGTCACACACCAGGAGCTGCCAAGTGATAACAGCTGTGAGCTGTCACGCTGGGCTGTCCCACTCCAGGGATGGGTACAGCAGGAATGCTCCCCAAACACCTGCAGAGGATGGGACAGCGCCTGGGCCATCCTGGCCCGGAGGACACTGGGGGACAGCAGGGGCCTTTGGAGCTCTGTCCTGGCTTATCCCGAGTGCTCTGGCTCCAAGCTAGCACAGTGGAAGCCAAGACACTCTGGTGGCCCTGGAGCGCCCAGGCAGGCAGGGGAGCAGGCACTACCCTGTTCCTGATGGATGAGGCTTCCCATGCTGTGCTGGGTACACAACCCCACACAAAATGCAGTGATAAATCTGCATTTTTCCCTCCTACTGCTCAAAATCCAGCCCCTGCAGCTCTGACCAGCGCTAGCTCCAAGAAACTGTAGCTCCTCAGCCTCAAGCTCTCAGTTTTTTTTCTTTTTTTTTGATGAGTGATAAAACCAAAAGCAAATACCCTGGTACCTGCAGAGATGCTTGCAGTAACTATTTATATCATTGTGATCCTGCAGAAGCTTCCCCATAACGACAGGCACGTACATACTTTTTATATTTAGCTTCTTTGAAAGGATGGCAAGGGAAAGCCCGGCTCAAACAAGGCCAATTTCCTTCTCCCCTCCCTCCCACTTGCTGGCTCTGGGTCACAGCTCACGCTGTAGCTCAAACCAGTTCAGCATTCCCTGGAAAAGGGAGAAGCCCAAGCCTAAAAAGACCAGGCTGGACAGGGCTTGGGGCAATCAGGTCTACTGAAACGTGTCTCTGCCCACAGCAGGAGGCTGGAATGAGCTTTAGGGTCTCTTCCGACCTAAATCATTCTGGGATTGTGTGCATTATAAAATGAGCCTTTTTGTTGCTTTTCCCTTCCACACTCCCACTTTAGCACAGGGTGGGGATTTCTCTGCCCCTGCTGCAGAAGCCAAACCATGCCACACACCCTCCTGTGGCTCGAGTGTAAGTAGAGCCAGCTAGTGTAAGCAGGTCCTTGCGCATCTGCTTTTCTCTTTTACAGGAGTATTTGGGAGCAGAATGATTCATCTTTGCTTGTTTTTGCCTCAGCTCCTCGTGCTGGCAAGCTGCAGGGAATGTGGAGGCTCCTAGGGCAGCAAACCTGGCACGGGAGGCAGAGACAGCGAGGCCAGCCCCTGTCAGCCACCAGCGCAGGCCCTGCAGCCACCCTGAGCCAACCCCTGCCCCTCCACGCTGTGGGGAGCAACAGCTCCCTCAGGGCAGACCTCAGTTCTGGAGAAAGAACTCATGGGTTTATGTTCAGCTCCTTTTTTTGGAATGAATTTTAATTCAGCACCCCCTCCCCTGAGGTGTGGGAGCACAGCAGCACAAGGAAGGACACACAGCTCCCGAGCCCAGGCACAGGGGCTCGGGGCTAGAAGAAGATGTGCAGAGACAAGTGTACAACAGAGCTTTATCATCAGAATGGACTGTACCAGGGTTTTTCAACGCAAAAATGGAACATGACCCAAAGTCCTGATGGAACAGAAGCACTTTCGGGACTGCAGCAGCTGAGGCTTGGACTTCCACCTGCCTTTGCCCAGAAGGGCAGCAGACCAGTCCTCAATCCTCCTTTTCCTCCCCGGCTGTGCAAAGTTTGAACTCTCCCATGCAATTTCCCTGCAGTGCCACATGGAATGCTCAGAGGCAAATGCTAATGGCAGACAGACCTGAACAACGCACTGCTCATACAGCAAGAAACCAGTCTGTTTTATAGGGAAATGGTTACAAGTGCATTTTGGGCACAAGAAGAAGAAAAATGGAGCAGGAAATGCCTGCTGGTCAAGACAGCTCTGGAATGATTAATGGATCAATAGAACATTGCTTTATAGGGATGCAGAAAGAAACTCCAGTTTGCATTTCATGGCTGACATTTTACAACAGAAAGGGGTGAGGGAGAGCAAAACCAAACCTCAAATCAACTTACAAGGGAAGAGGGGAATGTAATGCACAGAACCTGGAGGAAGCTTCACCATCTGAGCTGAGCAAGGGACCCCAGACCCAAACCAGGAGGTGTCAGAGAACTGACCAGCTCCATCAAACACAGGGATTGCTGACTGAGACACAGGTGAGTGCCAAGGGGTGGCCATAGTGCCCATCCAACGGCTGCTGAGCAGGTACTAATCCATAGGTTTATGTTCAAAGCAAAAACTAAAAGACTTCCCAAGCTCATGAGACAGAGGAGGCTCTCTCCTTGGGCAGGAGAGTCAGCACACTGGCTGCCTGCAGGATGGACAGAGGCTGGAGCAGGACGGACGCTGCTGAGCTGCAGTGCTGGTCCCTCTCGGCAGAGCAGCAGCCAGGGTTTACAGCCTGACTGGAAAATGCCTGAGAAGCAAATGCCTTGCCATGCCAACACTGCCCTGTAGCCAATTCTGAAGCTCTGGATATCTTCATTTCCACATGGAGTCATGTCCCTGAGAGGTCCCAGCAGCAGGGGATTCTGGAATATGCAAATTCAAGGGTGGGAAATGCAGAAAAGCACTGATTTTTTTCTCTCTTTCAGGTTAGCTTTGCATTTTTCATTGTCCTCCCAAACTGCATAGCAGCTTACATGTAGTGTCTGAGACACTGGGGCCACGGAAATCAATGGGCTTCATGAATTCCAACAGCAGCACCAGTGAGGGCTAATTAAGCTGCTGTGCAGAAAGGTCCCGTTCAAAGGACTTCAACAATCACACTCTCTCTCACACTGTCCCTGCGCCTGCTGCTTTAGAGAGCTGTACCATAGCATGATCTGCTTGACTTAAAGCTCATCAACTGCTGGGTGAAGCAATGGCCAATATAATCTTTCTCCTTAAAAAAATAGGAAGGATAAGAAGTTGAAGACTTGAGACAGTCAAGCATGATGTGTTCATGCAGCATGTTTTGTTGCACTCCTCTTAACAAGACAGGAATTTCAGGTGTGCAGGAGTGGAATGCAGCAGGGATGGAGCAGGAGGCAGGTCCCCTTGCCCCACAGCCTGCCAGTGACCTGATGGGGCATCTCTGCAAGGAGAAAAACTGACAGCCTGGCAGCAGGCCTGGAGCCATGCCCTGAACCTTCCCCTGGCTCACGTACATCTCAGCTTGGTTTTCTTTGTGTAACGATGCACCAGAGCAGCACACACAGATGTAAAGCTTTTGTTTTGCTCATTCTGGTTTGAGAGACCATACAGTGAAGGACCAAAGCTTTACACATCTGTGCCTGTCCTGGGGTGACTCATCAGAGAAGATGGAGACAGCCATGGTGCAGAGTCCACTCGCAGCCAAACTACAGCTCCTCGTAGTCCCCCCCGCCCTGTGGTTTGCTCATGCCGGCTCCTCCTCCGCCAAGAAAGGCCTCAAGTTCATCTATCTCACTGCTTTTCTCCTTGCTCTTCTTTTTCTTTTTCTTTTTCTCTTTTTCCTCTTTGCTCTCCTCCTTCTCTTTGCTCTTC